CCAACACCGCTCCCCATTCTCCCGCTTTCCAACACCCCGCCCCATTCGCCCGCTTTCCTTCACCCCGCCCCATTCTCCCGCTTTCCATCACCCCGCCCCATTCTCCCGCTTTCCATCACCCTGCCCCATTCTCCCTCCTTCCATCACCCCGCCCTGTTCTCCCGCTTTCCATCACCCTGCCCCATTCTCCCGCTTTCCATCACCCCGCCCCATTCTCCCGCTTTCCATCACCCCGCCCCATTCTCACGCTTTCCATCACCCCGCCCCATTCTTTCGCTTTTCATCACCCGCCCCGTTCTCCCGCTTTCCATCACCCCGCCCCATTCTCCCTCCTTCTATCACCCCGCCCCATTCTCCTGATTTCCTTCGCCTCGCCCCATTCTCCCGCTTTCCATCACCCCGCCCCATTCTCCCGCTTTCCATCACCCCGCCCCATTCTCCCGCTTTCCATCACCCCGCCCCATTCTCCCTCCTTCTATCACCCCGCTCCATTCTCTTGATTTCCATCGCCCCGCCCCATTCTCCCGTTTTCCATCACCCCGCCCCATTCTCCCTCCTTCCATCACCCCGCCCCATTCTCCCTCCCTCCATCACCCCGCCCCATTCTCCCGCATTCCATCACCCCGCCTCATTCTCCCGCTTTCCATCACCGCGTCCCATTCTCCCGCTTTCCATCACCCCGCCCCATTCTCCCTCCTTCTATCACCCCGCTCCATTCTCTTGATTTCCATCGCCCTGCCCCATTCTCCCTCCTTCCATCACCCCGCCCCATTCTCCCTCCTTCCATCACCCCGCCCCATTCTCCCTCCCTCCATCACCCCGCTCCATTCTCCCGCATTCCATCACCCCGCCTCATTCTCCCGCTTTCCATCACCCCGCCCCATTCTCCCGCTTTCCATCACCCCGCCCCATTCTCCCGCTTTCCATCACCCCACCCCATTCTCCCGCTTTCCATCACCCCGCCCCATTCTCCCGCTTTCCATAACCCCGCCCCATTCTCCCTCCAATCACCCCACCCCATTCTCCCACTTTCCATCACCCCGCCCCATTTTCCCACTTTCCATCACCCCGCCCCATTCTCCCGCTTTCCATCACCCCGCCCCATTCTCCCTCGTTCCATCACCCCGCCCCATTCTCCCTCCTTCCATCACCCCGCCCCATTCTCCTACTTTCCATCACCCCGCCCCATTCTCCCTCCTTCCATCACCCCGCCCCATTCTTCCTCCTTCCATCACCCAGCCCCATTCTCCCGCTTTCCATAACCCCACCCCATTCTCCCTCCTTCTATCACCCCGCCCCATTCTCCATCCTTCCATCACCCCGCCCCATTCTCCCGCTTTTCATCGCCCCGCCCCATTCTTCCGCTTTCCATCACCGCGCCCCATTCTCCCGCTTTCCATCAACCCGCCCCATTCTTCCGCTTTCCATCACCCTGCCCCATTCTCCTGCTTTCCATCCACCCCGCCTCATTCTCCAGCTTTCCATCACCCCGCCCCATTGTCCGTCCTCCCATCACCCCGCCCCATGCTCCCGCTTTCCATCACCCCACAGCATTCTCCCGCTTTCCATCCCCCCGCCCCATTCTCCCGCTTTCCATCACCCCGCCCCATTCTCACGCTTTCCATCACCCCGCCCCATTCTTTCGCTTTCCATCACCCGCCCCGTTCTCCCGCTTTCCATCACTCTGCCTCATTCTCTCTCCTTCCATCACCCCGCCCCATTCTCCCTCCTTCCATCACCCCGCCCAATTCTCCAGCTTTCAATCACCCCGCCCCATTCTCCCACTTTCCGTCACCCCGCCCCATTCTCCCGCTTTCCATCACCCCGCCCCATTCTCCCTCCTTCCATCACCCAGCCCCGTTCTCCCGCTTTCCATCACCCTGCCCCATTCTCCCGCTTTCCATCACCCCGCACCATTCTCCCGCTTTCCATCACCCCGCTTTATTCTCCCGCTTTCCATCACCCCGCCCCATTCTCCCTCTTTCCATCACCCCGCACAAGTCTCCCGCTTTCCATCACCGTGCCCCATTCCCCCGCTTTCCTTCACCCCGCACCATTCTCCCTCCTTCCATCATCACGCCCCATTTTCCCGCTTTCCATCACCCAGCGCCGTTATCCCGCTTTCCAACACCCCGCCCCATTCTCCCCCTTTCCATCACCGCGCCCCATTCTCCCGCTTTCCATCACCCCGCCCCATTCGCCCGCTTTCCATCAACCCGCCCCATTCTCACGCTTTCCATCACCCCGCCCCATTCTTTCGCTTTTCATCTCCCACCCCGTTCTCCCGCTTTCCATCACCCCGCCCCATTCTTTCGCTTTTCATCTCCCGCCCCGTTCTCCCGCTTTCCATCACCCCGCCCCATTCTCCCTCCTTCTATCACCCCGCCCCATTCTCCTGATTTCCATCACCCCGCCCCATTCTCCCTCCTTCCATCACCTCGCCCCATTCTCCCTCCTTCCATCACCCCACCCCATTCTCCCTCCTTCCATCACCCCGCCCCATTCTCCCGCTTTCCATTACCCCGCCCCATTCTCCCGCTTTCCATCACCCCGCCCCATTCTCCCGCTTTCCATCACCCTGCCCCCTTCTCCCGCTTTGCATCACCCCGCCCCATTATCCTGCTTCCATCACCCCGCCCCATTCTCCCTTCTTCCATCACCCCGCCCAATTCTCCCTCCTTCCATCACCCAGCCCCATTCTCCCGCTTCCCATAAATCCGCCCCATTCTCCCTCCTATCTTCCCGCCCCGTTCTCCCACTTTCCATCACCCCGCCCCATTCTCCCACTTTCCATCACCCCGCCCCATTCTCCCGCTTTCCATCACCCCGTCCCATTCTCCCTCGTTCCATCACCCCGCCCCATTTTCCCTCCTTCCATCATCCCGCCCCATTCTCCCGCTTTCCATCACCCCGCCCCATTCTCCCTCCTTCCATCACCCCGCCCCATTCTCCCTCCTTCCATCACCCCGCCCCATTCTCCCTCCTTCTATCACCCCACCCCATTCTCCCTCCTTCCATCACCCCGCCCCATTCTCCCGATTTCCATCGCCCCGCCCCATTCTCCCGCTTTCCATCACCCCGCCCCATTCTCCCGCTTTCCATCACCCCGCCCCATTCTCCCTCCTTCCATCACCCCGCCCCATTCTCCCGCTTTCCATCACCCCGCCCCATTCTCCCGCTTTCCATCACCCCGCCCCATTCTCCCTCCTTCCATCACCCTGCCCCATTCTCCCTCCTTCTATCACCCCACCCCATTCTCCCTCCTTCCATCACCCCGCCCCATTATCCCGCTTTCCATCACCCCGCCCCATTCTCCCGCTTTCCATCACCCCGCCCCATTCTCCCTCCTTCCATCACCCCGCCCCATTCTTCCGCTTTCCATCACCCCGCCCCGTTCTCCCACTTTCCAACACCCCACCCCATTCTCCCACTTTCCATCACCGCGCCCAATTCTCCCGCCTTCCACCACCCCGCCCCATTTTTCCGGCTTCCATCACCCCGCCCCATTCTCCCGCTTTCCATCACCCCGCCCCATTCTCCAGCTTTCCATCACCCCGCCCCATTCTCCCGCTTTGCATCACCCCGCCCCATTCTCCGTCCTTCCATCACCCCGCCCCATTCTCCCTCCTTCCATCACCCTGCCCCATTCTCCCGCTTTCCATCACCCTGCCCCATTCTTCCGCTTTCCATCGCCCCGCCCCATTCTCCCGCTTTCCATAACCCCGCCCCATTCTCCCGCTTTCCATCACCCCGCCCCATTCTCCGGCTTTCCATCACCCCGCCCCATTCTCCCGCTTTCCATCGCCCCGCCCCATTCTCCCGCTTTCCATCACCCCGCCCCAATCTCCCTCCTTCCATCACCCCGCCCCATTCTCCCCCCTTCCATCACCCCACCCCATTCTCCCGCTTTCCATCACCCCGCCCCATTCTCCCGCTTTTCTCCACCCCGCCTCATTCTCTCTCCTTCCATCACCCCGCCCCATTCTCCCTCCTTCCATCAACCCGCCCCATTCTCCCGCTTTCCATCACCCCGCCCCATTCTCCCGCTTTCCACCATCCCGCCCCATTCTCCCGCTTTCTGTCACCCCGCCCCATTCTCCCTCCTTCCATCACCCCGCCCCATTCTCTCTCCTTCCATCACCCCACCTCATTCTCCCTCCTTCCATCACCCCGCCGCATTTTCCCTCCTTCCATCACCTCGCCCCGTTCTCCCGCTTTCCATCACCCCCTCCCCATTCTCCCGCTTTCCATCACCCCGCCCCATTCTTTCGCTTTCCATCACCCCGCCCCATTCTCCCGCTTTCAATCACCCCGCCCCATTCTCCCTCCTTCCATCACCCCGCCCCATTCTCCCTCCCTCCATCACCCCGCCCAATTCTTCCGTCTTCCATCACCCCGCCCCATTCTCCCGTTTTCCATCACCCTGCCCCATTCTCCCACTTTCCATCAACCTGCCCCATTCTCCCTCCTTCCATCACCCCGCCCCATTCTCCCTCCCTCCATCACACCGCTCAATTCTTCCGTCTTCCATCACCCCGCCCCATTCTCCCGTTTTCCATCACCCCGCCCCATTCTCCCACTTTCCATCACCCCGCCCCATTCTCCCGTTTTTATTCACCCCCCCCCCCCCCCCCCCCCCATTCTCCCGCTTTCCATCACCCCGCCCCATTCTTCCACTTTCCATCACCCCGCCCCATTCTCCCGCATTCCATCACCCTGACCCATTCTCCCGCTTTCCATCACCCAGCCCCATTCTCCCGCTTTCCAGCACCCCCCCCCCATTCTCCCGCTTTTCATCACCCCGCCCCATTCTCCCTCCTTCCATCACCCCGCCCCATTCTTCCTCCTTCCATCACCCAGCCCCATTCTCCCACTTTCCATAACCCCGCCCCGTTCTACCTCCTATCACCCCGCCCCATTCTCCCACTTTCTATCACCCCGCCCCATTCTCCATCCTTCCATCACCCCCCCCCCCCGTTCTCCCGCTTTCCATCACCCAGCCCCATTCTCCCGCTTTCCATCACCCCGCCCCATTCTCCCGCTTTCCATCACTCAGCCCCATTCTCCCGCTTTCCATGACCCCGCCCCATTCTCCCGCTTTCCATCACCCCGCCCCGTTCTCCCGCTCTCCATCACCCCGCCCCATTCTCCCTCCTTCTATCACCCTGCCCCATTCTCCTGATTTCCATTGCCCCGCCCCATTCTCCCGTTTTCCACCACCCCGCCCCATTCTCCCTCTTTCCATCACCCCGCCCCATTCTACCGCTTTCCATCACCCCGCCCCATTCTCCCGCTTTCCATCAACCGGCCCCATTCTCCCACTTTCCATCACCCCGCCCCGTTCTCCCGCTCTCCATCACCCCGCCCCATTCTCCCTCCTTCTATCACCCCGCCCCTTTCTCCTGATTTCCATTGCCCCGCCCCATTCTCCCGTTTTCCACCACCCCGCCCCATTCTCCCTCCTTCCATCACCCCGCCCCATTCTCCCTCCTTCCATCACCCCGCCCCATTCTCCCTCCTTCCATCACCCCACCGCATTCTCCCGCATTCCATCACCCCGCCCCATTCTACCGCTTTCCATCACCCCGCTCCATTCTCCCGCTTTCCATCAACCGGCCCCATTCTCCCTACTTCCATCACCCCGCCCCATTCTCCCGCTTTCCATCACCCCGCCCCATTCTCCCGCTTTCCACCACCCCGCCCCATTCTCCCGCCTTCCACCACCCCGCCCCATTCTCCCGCTTTCTGTCACCCCGCCCCATTCTCCCGCTTTCTGTCACCCCGCCCCATTCTCCCTCCTTCCATCACCCCGCCCCATTCTCTCTCCTTCCATCACCCCCCGCCCCATTCTCCCTCCTTCCATCACCCTGCCCCATTCTCCCTCCTTCCATCACCCCACCGCATTCTCCCGCATTCCATCACCCCGCCCCATTCTACCGCTTTCCATCACCCCGCTCCATTCTCCCGCTTTCCATCAACCGGCCCCATTCTCCCTACTTCCATCACCCCGCCCCATTCTCCCGCTTTCCATCACCCCGCCCCATTCTCCCGCTTTCCACCACCCCGCCCCATTCTCCCGCCTTCCACCACCCCGCCCCATTCTCCCGCTTTTTGTCACCCCGCCCCATTCTCCCGCTTTGTGTCACCCCGCCCCATTCTCCCTCCTTCCATCACCCCGCCCCATTCTCTCTCCTTCCATCACCCCACCCCTTTCTCCCTCCTTCCATCACCCCGCCCCATTTTCCCTCCTTCCATCACCCCGCCCCATTCTTTCGCTTCCCATCACCCCGCCCCATTCTCCCGCTTTCAATCACCCTGCCCCATTCTCCCTCCTTCCATCACCCCGCCCCATTCTCCCTCCCTCCATCACCCCGCCCAATTCTTCCGTCTTCCATCACCCTGCCCCATTCTCCCGTTTTCCATCACCCCGCCCCATTCTCCCACTTTCCATCAACCCGCCCCATTCTCCCTCCTTCCATCACCCCGCCCCATTCTCCCTCCCTCCATCACCCCGCCCAATTCTTCCGTCTTCCATCACCCCGCCCCATTCTCCCGTTTTCCATCACCCCGCCCCATTCTCCCACTTTCCATCACCCCGCCCCATTCTCCCGTTTTTATTCACCCTCCCCCCCCCCATTCTCCCGCTTTCCATCGCCCTGCCCAATTCTCCCCCTTTCCATCACCCCGCCCCATTCTCCCACTTTCCATCACCCCGCCCCGTTCTCCTGCATTCCATCACCCCGCCCCATTCTCCCGCTTTCCATCACCCGGCCCCATTCTCCCGCTTTCAATCACCCCGCCCCATTCTTCCGCTTTCCATCACCGCGCCCCATTCTCTCTCCTTCCATCACCCCACCCCATTCTCCCGCTTTCCACCACCCCGCCCCATTCTCCCGCTTTCCACCACCCCGCCCCATTCTCCCGCTTTCTGTCACCCCGCCCCATTCTCCCTCCTTCCATCACCCCGCCCCATTCTCTCTCCTTCCATCACCCCACCCCATTCTCCCTCCTTCCATCACCCCGCCTCATTTTCCCTCCTTCCATCACCCCGCCCCATTCACCCGCTTTCCATCACCCCGCCTCATTCTCCCACTTTCCATCACCCCGCCCCGTTCTCCCGCTTTCCATCACCCCTCCCCATTCTCCCGCTTTCCATCACCCCGCCCCATTCTCCCGCTTTCCATCACCCCGCCCCATTCTCCTGCTTTCAATCACCCCGCCCCATTCTCCCTCCTTCCATCATCCGCCCCTTTCTCCCGCTTTCCATCAACCCGCCCCATTCTCCCTCCTTCCATCACCCCGCCCCATTCTCCCTCCCTCCATCACCCCGCCCCATTCTTCCGTCTTCCATCACCCCGCCCCATTCTCCCGTTTTCCATCACCCCGCCCCATTCTCCCACTTTTCATCACCCCGCCCCATTCTCCCGTTTTTATTCACCCCCCCCCTCCATTCTCCCGCTTTCCATCACCCCACCCAATTCTCCCACTTTCCATCACCCCGCCCCATTCTCCCACTTTCCATTACCCCGCCCCATTCTCCCGCATTTTATCACCCTGCCCCATTCTCCCGCTTTCCATCACCCCGCCCCATTCTCCCGCTTTCCATCACCCTGCCCCATTCTCCCGCTTTCCCTCACCCCACCCCATTCTCCCTCCTTTCATCATCCGGCCCCATTCTCCCACTTTCCATCACCCCGCCCCATTCTCCATCCTTCCATCGACCCGCCCCATTCTCCCGCTTTCCATCACCCCGCCCCATTCTCCCGCTTTCCATCACCCCGCCCCATTCTCCCGCTTTCCATCACCCCGCCCCATTCTCCCGCTTTCAATCACCCCGCCCCATTCTCCCGCTTTCCACCACCCCGCCCCATTCTCCCGCTTTCTGTCGCCCGCACGGAGGCCGCCGCCTCACACAGCAGCTGCACACCGCGCGCAGGCCCGCCGTCGCGCCGCCCTACCTGCCCGAGCCGCGCCGCGCCGCCTTGCCCGAGTCGCGCCGCCCTGGCCAAGCCGCGCTGCCCTGCTGTGCCACACTGCCCCACCTGCAGCAACTACTGCTCCTGTTTCTACTACTACTACTCTTCCTACTGCGACTGCTGCTACTGCTACTGCTACCACTATGGCTACTCCCACCGTTCTCTCTTTCGATGCTGAGGGCCGTCCGATTCAGTTTGATGCTTGGCTCGACGACCTGCACCTGTTCCTACAGATCATTGCCAAGGACGACGTCTCACTGTATGATCACGCATCCGGAACCGCTCTAGCCCTGACAGTACAGTTCGCTCCCAGTGGCAGACTCGTGACGCTCACACTCGCCTAGCTATTCGCAATCACCTGCCGTTAGATGAGCGCGCGCATTTTGGCCAGCACAAGACTGCCAAGGCACTGTACGATGCAGTAGTCGCGCGCTACTCCTCGCCTGCAAGCAGTGGCTGTCTCTCGCTGCCCTATCTTTTCCCCGATCTGGCCGCCTTTCCCACAGTCGCTGACCTCATTACACACCTCTGCACTAGTGACACTCGCTTTCGAGCTGCCCTTCCTGCTGAGTTCCTCGCCAAGAATCCCCTCCCTGATGTACCTCGTTCTCTACCACCTAGTCACCCGTCTCCCTGACTCTCTTCGCGCAATCAGGGACCACTTTCTCACCCTCTGCCCCACCGAGCTCACCGTTGACCTGCTCGAGAAGCATTTGCTTGCAGCTGAGGCTAGCATAGTTGCTGTAGGTGCCTCTCGTGGCGACCCCCGCACGCCCTTCTTAGACGGGTGTTCCCCTCCCCCCCTTCTCCCCTCGGTCGCCTCAACTGCCGCTTTCGACTACCTTGGTGCTGAGGAAGTCGGGGCTGCGTCTGCTCCTAGTGGGAGGCGCAAGGGCGGCAGGGGCAAGGGTGGTGGCGGTGACAGCGGGGGAGGTGGAGGTGGAGGTGGAGGCGGTGGGGGCGGTGGGGGTGGTGGCGGTGGTGGGGGTGGTGGCGGGGCTGGGAGGGTCAGTGGCAGCGGCGGGGGTGGTGGCGGCAGTGGTGGTGGCGGAGGCCGGGGTGGAAGCGGTGGTGGAGGCGGCAGTGGGCGTGGTGGCGGCGGTCGGGGTGGTGGTCGGGGTGGACCAGCGCAGCGTGGAGGTTCGGGTGGTGTCCAGCGCCAGCAGCAGCATCTCGGAGAGACCCCGTCGTCCCAGCAGCTTCGTGAGTGGTACTCTCAGCATGGGGGGTCTGGGGGTGGAGGTACCTGCACGTATGTCATCCGCACAGGTGACCGCGCTGGTCAGACGTGTGGGAGGTCCCACACGCAGCAGCGCTGCTTCTCCCGTCTTGACGACGCTTGGCGTGCTCAGTTCCCTGACGCCTCTGAGCTGCCCTGATGGGCTGATCTGCTTAAAAAGGAACATTGATATCTTTGTTCTTGACTTTTATGTTATCCTTGGAGCCATGTATGCATTGACTATTAGTGTTGAGGGTGACTGTTACTTGTGTGTCCCGCCAGACCCAGGCATTGCGACCAGTGAGGCTGCCGCTCTAGGTGCTAATGTGTCTGCTGCCCCAGGTCCTGGTGAGGCTGCTGCTCTACGTGCTGGTGTGTCTCCTGCTTCAGGTGCTGGTGAGTCTGCGCCTTCAGGTACTGCGTCTACTGAGGCACTGCACACCTTCACGCTGGACTCAGGTGCTTCCCGCTGTTTCTTTCACGACTGCACTGCCCTAGCGCAGCTCCCTAGGCCTGTTGCTGTCTCCCTGGCTGACCCCTCCGGGGGTCCGGTCCTTGCGACCTCCACCACTGCCCTCCCTTGTCCTGCTGTCCCGTCCGGCACACTGTCGGGTCTTTACCTCCCCTCGTTCTCTACGAAATTGGTTGCGGGTTCCGCGCTCCAGGACGCGGGTGTTCACCAGTTCACCCCTGCCTACGAGCGTGTGACACACTGCACGTATGCTCAGACGGGTCGTCACCTGGCTACCTTCACCCGGCAGTCGGGGTCAGACTTGTACACACTGACCACTGAGTCCCCTCAGGTAGCGGCGTCTGCGTCTGCGTTAGGTCAGTTGTCCGCCCCCTGCTCGTGTCGCACCCTGTCGCACCGGACGGTCCTCTGGCACCACCGCCTTGGTCACCCTTCGATGCAATGCCTTCATGGCATGCACTCCCGTTACCTTGTCTCTGGTCTCCTCAGGTCACTGCCTCCCCTGCCACTGTCTTCTGCCCCTCCCTGCCTTCCCTGTGTCGAGGGGCGGCAGCGTGCCACCTCTCACTCCTCTGAGTTCCCCCTGACGGAGGCTCCTCTGCAGACCCTTCACATGGACGTGTGGGGCCCAGCCCGCGTCCGTGGACGGGGCGGAGAGCGCTACTTCCTGCTGGTAGTTGATGACTACACGCGTTACACCACGGTCTTCCCCTTGCGCACCAAGGGAGAGGTCCCTGGTGTCTTGATCCCTTGGATCCGCGCTACTCGTCTCCAGCTGGAGAGGCGCTTTTGCACGGACCTTCCCGTCCTGCGACTGCACTTTGACAGAGGTGGTGAGTTTTCCTCCGGCCTCTTGCGAGCCTTCTGTCAGGGGGAGGGCATTGAGCATACGTTCACGCTTCCGGCCTCTCCTCAGCAGAATGGGGTTGCTGAGCGCCGCATTGGCTTGGTCATGGAGGTCGCTCGTACCTCCTTGATCCATGCGGCTGCCCCCCATTTTTTGTGGCCGTTTGCGGTCTGGTACGCCGCGCATCAGCTCAACCTCTGGCCCCGTGTCTCCGTTCCGGAGACCTCGCCGACACTGCATTGGACGGGAGAGGTTGGCGATGCGTCTGTGTTCCGGGTCTGGGGATCTCGTGCCTTTGTCTGCGATACGTCCGCGGACAAGCTCTGACCCTGGTGTGGCTGCTGACCCTAGGGTTGGCGCTGGAGGTGCTGGAGTCACTGGTCCTGGAGGTGCTCGTACTAGCGGTACTAGAGCTGCTGGGACTGGAGGTGCTACTGGAGCTGCTGGAGGTGCTACTGGTGCTAGGGCTGGTGGTGCTGCAGGGGCTGGAGCTGGAGGCGCTGACGCTCGTCCTCCTGCAGGTTCTGGAGCCGACGGTGCGGCTGGAGCTGGTGCTACTTGGGGTAATGGAGTTGGCACTACTGGAGCTGCTGGTGGTGCTGCAGGAGTTGGAGCTGCTGCTGGGGGTTCTCGTGCTGTCTCTGCTGGTTCTCGGGGCACTCCACAACCGCGGCCGTACTTCGTTCCGCTCCTTCAGCAGGTTCTTGGTCAGCCGCCTGCTCCTTGTCCTGCTCCCTCCTTAGAGTGTCCTCCGCCTGTCTAGATGCAGTCACAGTTACAGCCAGCCTGCCTCGCCACTCCCTGGTCCTTCTCCCTACACAGGTCCGTCTGGAGGTCTTACGGAGCGTCGTGAGCCTGAGTCTCGTCCTGTGTCGCCTTAGTCTCGTCCTGCGTCGCCTGTTCGTGCAGCTCGCACTGATCGTCGTGTCCCGCGTCAGCGTCCTCCTGCTGTCCTAGGCACGCACCAGATGACGCTTCGTCCTTCCACTGCTCTACAGCGTGTCCCTCTGCCTTCTCCTCCTGCGTCCTCTCTTCCTGCCCTTGCTGACCCGGAGTCTGACTCTCTTCGTGCTGCTAGTCCTACTCTCACGCGTCTCCTGGCCACTGCTGTCTCTGACCCTTCCTTTGAGTCCGCTGCTGCGTCTGCCTTAGTTTCTGAGCTTGTCGACTTTGCTGCTCACTGTCGTCTAGACTACCCCGCGAGTCTTAATGCTCAGTCTGAGTCTGTCTGTCCTCAGTCCATCGGGGGTGAGTGTGCTCTTGGCACGGACGTCCTTGAGGACAGGCAGAAGGAGTTTGAGTGCTTTGTTGCTGCTGTACCTCATCTCGTGTCCATGCTACCTGAGGGAGACCCGGATGCACCAGACATCCCGACCCCGCGCTCTTACGCTGAGGCGATCGCGGGTGAGTACTCCTCTCAGTGGCAGACAGCCATGGACGCAGAGATGGCATCCTGGAAGTCCACTGGCACTTACGTCGACGAGGTTCCCCCTCCTGGGGCGAACATCGTCAATGGAATGTGGATATTCAGGGTGAATCGGCCGCCAGGTTCTCCGCCTGTCTTCAAGGCTCGTTACGTTGCTCGAGGCTTCAGCCATCGAGAGGGAGTAGACTTCTTCGAGACCTTCTCCCCCACCTCGAAGATGACCACTCTTCGGGTGCTACTGCACTTTGCCGCTCAGCGTGACTACGAGCTTCACTCTCTTGACTTCAGCACAGCTTTCTTACAGGGCAGCCTGCACGAGGAGATCTGGTTGCGCCGCCCTCCTGGTTTCACTGGGTCGTTCCCTCCTGGTACCCACTGGAGCCTCCGGCGGCCGGTCTACGGTCTCCGCCGGGCGCCACGTGAGTGGCACGACACACTGAGGACTACACTTGCGGCTCTTGGGTTTGCGCCTTCTACTGCTGAATCGTCGCTGTTTCTGCGCACCGACACTTCGCTGCCGCCGTTCTACATCCTCGTGTACGTCGACGACTTGGTCTTTGCTACTTCTGACACTGAGGCTCTCGCCCTGGTGAAGTTGGAGCTGCAGAAGAGACACACGTGCACAAACCTGGGTGAACTGCGCAGCTACCTTGGCTTGTAGATCACCTGGGACAGAGCACGCCGCACCATCACACTGACTCAGTCACACATGGTGCAGCAGGTCCTTCAGTGCTTCGGCTTCACGTGGTCCTCGGCACAGCCGACTCCTCTGGCTACAGGTCACTCGCTCTCAGCTCCACCTTCGGACGAGTCCGTAGAGCCGAGTGGTCCTTACCCAGAGCTAGTTGGCTGCCTCATGTACCTGATGACTTGCACTCGTCCTGACCTCGCTTACCCTCTTGGCCTTCTGGCTCACTACGTGGCTCCTAGTCGGCACCGAAAGGTGCACATGGATGTCGTTAAGAGGGTACTGCGCTACTTGTGCAGTACATCAGGCATGGGGCTCGTGCTTGGAGGGAGGAGCTCAGTTGTTCTCACTGGGCACTCAAACGCTTCTTGGGTTGACGACCAGGCTATTCAACGGTCGTCACAGGGTTACACCTTCAGCCTTGGCTCTGGTTCGGTTTCTTGGCGTTCTACACGCTCGTCTTCAGTTCTCAGCTCCAGTTGTGAGGCTGAGATCTACGCCACAGCCATGGCTGCACAGTAGTTACGCTAGCTCACCTACCCGCTGA